TATTTTATTATATTATTTTTTGGGACCAATTTCGGTCCGCTTATTTCAATTTCTCAATAATTATTTATATTTCTTACTGAAATATCCGGACCGATTTCGGTCCGGATAGTATATATACGAACCGATTATTCGTCGGTCTGTATATTTGACTTATTCGTACCAGGTTTTTTCAGATCAACTATAAGGACCAATATCGGTCCGTATATATATTCAGACCGATTTCCTATATATTCGGACCGATATTTCGGTTCGGAAATCCCATTCCTGCAGTAGTGTATCAAAAAAATTACTTAATCTTCATTGGAGACTTAATATAATTATCAATACCATATTATAATTAATTAAATTTCCACAATTCCTTATAAATTTTAAAAAAATTCAACAAAGTTTCCCCTAAATTTTGTATTTTCCCCTTATACACAAAATATATATAAAAATACAATCAACCAAAACAAGATAAACCAAAATAAGAAACTGTCAAAAAGATTACTTAATCTTCATTGGAGACTTAATATAATTATCAATACCATATTATAATTATTTAAATTTCCATAATTTCTTATAAACTAGAAAGAATACTTACAGTATACTCTTGAGCCTGCTCATCAATATATGTTGGCATTTTATCTTTTTCCTTTGGATGGTGCATTTTTTTGGCACGGATCAAATCAACAAATGATGGATCCCTATGTTCTGGATCTTTTTCCTTCTGCAAGATCACATATTTAATTATTGTGTTAATTCACACAAACATTATAATTAACAATAAGATTATTATAATCAATATGGGATGGAATCTAACACTTATATGTAAATCTTTTACCAATTTTCTCACAAAGTCATCGTAATCCATAAATCCACCCGTGTGAGTTACCCTAGGGCCCTTTGCTCGATTTGCCTTGCCTCGCTCTCTGCGCGCATTGAATTGAGGGTCCTTCGTCCATTTGTACTTTAACTTCTCCCAAACTTCATCAGACATATATAGTTTTTTTTTTCAGTAAAATTGTTCTTTCTGCATGAGGTTTGAATATCAATCATCATTCGATTATATCTTTTTCACAAACTCGTAGAAATGCTGTATGAACAGCATCCTCATGAGCAAGGTCCTACTCATATTTGTTCTGAAAAATGAAAAAATATTGGTATCATATATTCATGTATTAATTGACGCACAGAAAAAATTACACTTATATAAATAGAAACATATTGCAATTTATTCAATAAAACTACAAACCCGAAAATCTTGCCAATACACATCCTTGTGCTCACGCGATATTGAAGCCCAACCTGTATATGCTTCTCGCATATTGGACTTAAGAATTATTGAAATATCCTTTCGGACTTGTTTAGGTAATATTTTTCCATTCCAGTTCCCTATGCTCAGCTTCTGGGTTGGATCTTCTGGCATTTTTTGCCCTTTAGCAATACCTCGCCCCTTTTTGGGTTGAGGAGGTGATGGTGCACTTGAATCAGTGTCACTGGCATTATTAGTTCTCTCCATCGGAGACTCTTGGACAATAGTATTGGAAGATCCAGTTGCTTGTGATTGAGTTTTTCTTGTTGGCCTTTGGGTGGCAACGTTAACAGCCTTGTCACCCCTACATGATCCAGGTAAGCAATTCACTGCAACAAAAAATACGAAATAATACTACATTAGTATATAAATGAAAAAAATGTATTAAATTTAAGCTTTAAATAAAAATAAATCAAACATGAAATTTAAAGACAATATCTAACCACAATAATAATCACCAAATTAATCTCTCCATTATATCAATCAATAATATATATCAACCACTGTGTTATAAAATACCACACACATACACTACTCAATAATAAAAAAGTATCTATGTATTACTAATTAATTAATCACTACTATCACTCTCAAAGATATATTCAATATTATCTTCCTCAGATGTAGAATAATCTTCAAATTCGTCCTTTTCCTCCTCATCCTCTTCCTCATATTCTCTATCATCATTCATAGACTCAAACTCGACATTAATGGTAGATGCAGTCCCATCAGTATGCTGAATAGGTTGATACAATATCAAATCGGTTTCAGTCGGCTGGGGAGGTAGAGGGTCATCATCTTGAAAAATGATATTCAATATTATCTTCCTTAGATGTAGAATAATCTTCAAATTCGTCCTTTTCCCCCTCATCCTCTTCCTCATATTCTCTATCATCATTCATAGACTCAAACTCGACATTAATGGTAGATGCAGTCCCATCAGTATGCTAAATAGGTTGATACAATATCAAATCGGTTTCAATCGATTTCAGTCGGTTTCAATCAGATGTCATTAAGTCTCCTCACCATCTGGTTGTCATTCTGAACCCCTAACAGACGCAGAAACCCATATCTTTTCCCCCATTTGTCTCGCTTCTTTGGCAGATAAACATCTAAAACTTTCCCATACCTCTGAAAGCTATACCATAAGTCTTTCTCCTCACAATTTTCTGGAAAATTGTAGAAGAAGAAAGTCTTTATCTGTCCTAAAAGCTTTTGATCTACCCCCGGAATCCAACGCTTGAACCTCTGCCGCTGTCTGGTGCCGCTTGCCTCCCCTGTCGTCGCTCCTCTCGCTCTAACCCTCTGACTCTGCATCTCGCTCTGTTTCATAGTCTACATGGAAAATGGAACAACTTTAGCTTCAGCAGGGCTGTTCATTATCCGATATCACTCCTTCTATCGTATGCTCCATAAATTCATTAATTTTCTTGAAATGGATAGTATGACCAATCGATACCCTAGCCAATAGTATTCTATTTACATTACAGCCTTGCATAAGGAAGGAGCCTACATGCACCTTCTTAATGATCAGGATAAGGAGGATCTGAAGTGGCTCAAGATATTCAAGTATTAATCTATAATGTCCCTTACGTTTTG